TTCTCCACTTTCTTTGATTCTTTTATAGTGATAGATACAACAACAGAAACGGTCAAGTATAAATGCCATTATATGCTGGAATTGAGGTTATACTCGTATTTATCATCAAGCGGTAATTGGTGCACGGTAATAGGAACACGTACGGTAGATGGGGTGCGGTAATAGGATCATCTGTACGGTAATTAGGAGTACGATTTTTAAATCACTGATGAGTTATAAAATTAAGAATGCTGCCACAAGTGAAGTTAAAGTTTGCAGTTGAATAAAAAAAAAAAAACGCTGTATTACAGTAACTATGTAACGGTCACACATCCACGTATTAAGCGCATCAAACGCTTGCTTAAGCTTCGGTGATCGACCGAACTGCGACTCTCTACTGCTGCGCCATAGCTTCGGTCGTTATTAACTTGATTTGTTAAGGAGGTTCAATACAATCTTTTAGAGGAGAGGTAAAGTGGGGTCAAGGGTGTTGAAAGCTCACAATATTACCAACATAACGTAATACAGTTTATTCTTACGGAATACATGCATCCATCTCATAAACCTAACCCAAGTTTTTATTTTTATTTCGAAAAATCGTGGTTTTCTCTTTAATTAGTATGGATACTGACAAAAATCAGAGGATCATTTGAATCTGCAGTATTTGAAGTTTTAAAAATATATTTTTTGTCGATTTTTTAACTATTACTAAGGAATGTCATTTTTAGGTCACAACATTGTTCCCATAACAGCCCGTGTTAAATTGTTCATTTTTTATTTTGAAATATCTTAATAACTACATGGCTGAGATCGCCCAAAAAAAGTACGTTTATTTTTTATAACACATAGAATGAGTCAAAAACTAAATTAGAGCCCCCAACTATTGTCGATGATATGTATCCAACCTCCTTAAAAGGTTTAACGAAAAATAATAGTGAGGTAAAGTCCAGCAGATTTAAACAACTAAGTAATTTACATGACCTTATTTTCAACTGTATGAGAAAGAAATGTACTTTGCTGGTATGTCTGCATGAAATTCAATAGAGTACATCAGCAGGATAACCGTATTAGTTGGCATATCGAGTACTTATCGATCAGTTTAGTAAGAAACTTATTTACAAAATAAATATAATGCGCTTGAGAAAATCGTATTAAGGTATTATCTTAACGTTTTGAAACCATTGGTTACTGTCTACAATTATATTCATATTACAAAATTACTTTTGCTAGGACGTTTTGGTAAAACCCCGCATTGGTAAAATAAATTTATTTAATCTCTTACAGAAGTGCGCCCATAAATACGAATTTTGTTTTAGCATTAAATAGAGATTGATATTTTTGAAGCTTATGGCATCGGATCAGTAATAATGAAACAGTGCCTCGAATTTTTTGATCTCGAGTATGCAGATTTAAAATTCAAAAACATCAATTAAACCCTCAACTGAACTATTATGAACCATTTCAAGACTTCAAAAACGTCATTTTTTGTGATTATAAAATACACTAAAACTTTTGGAGCAGCTTAACAATAGGCCTATTAAAAGGCTGCTAATTTCATCAGCTTTATGGGTAAGAAATTTGACGAGTTTAAAGATGATGAAGGCCGGTTATATTTCCGTCTTTGACACTTTCATGTTACGTGTGCATAATTTTTTTAGATATAACAGCACCACGAAAGGAAAAAAAAAAAACTTTAATAATATACATGTAAGCGATGAATTTTGCAAGATGTAGCATTAACGATTCTCATCAAAATGTATCACATACAAGGGATCAAGTAATTGTTCCTTTCAATTCATCACCACGATTGAATGTACCTATATATATATATATCTGTGGCTTCCTGGACAAACCAATTAACGCCATTTTTCTCAAAATTGAGTTAAAACCGGAAAGCATATCCTATTTTAGTATACTTTCGTCCAAACAAACTTTTGAAATGATTCGAATGACCGATTCCCCGTAATCGATGCAAGATCCAAGCGATTAACCATCATTTTCCCGGCCGAACTGATTAAGTGACTTTTGTCCCGGTCCACCCGAATAAGTGATGTAAAATTATTGTATTTAGTAATTTTCACCATTTAATAAAAGATTTAATGTAACTATGTGGCTTTGACAAATAACTTATTAAAAGTTTTCGTATATTCATGTTTTCACTGCAATGCATTATAAGAATAAGGGTAATTTATTATTGGACTCCAATAGCGCAATAGCTACGGATTTATAAAATTTTAATAGAGGGGTATAAAATACGGGCGCTAATATCAGAATTGTGCCATAGAAAAGCTTACTCCTCTCGCAAATGCCAAAATTCATCACTTAACCTAAATTTACTGTGGCGATTGGCGCTCAAAATTAGTTAAAATCCGTGCAACTGCAGTCCAAGCCTTATTACCGATGAGAAGTAACACGATTCAAAAATCTTAATGTCATTTTAAAGGGGGAAAAACGAACTGTGCTACTTTTCGTCGGGATAATCGTTTTGTCGCTAGAACTGCACGAAGTAATGCAATGCTCTGTTTGAGAAATAAAAATGTACTACTCGATAACAACTAATTAGCAAGCAGGCATGGCATATATCCTTGTGGTTAAATGCGTTTTTTGTTGAATATATATTCACGAATTATAGAATTAGTTCCATGTTCCTGACCGAATAACTTTAAAAGTGACTCGTAACGAGGAAGTCGATTGCATTTTTTGATCACCCATGTAAAGTATTAAAGTCTTGTCTCAGTACCTAACGTTAGGCACAGCAAGAAACATGCAGTTTCTGCGCTGTGAAAAAGTAGCTTTTTCATCTTTAGGGCCGTTTTTCTCGATAATTACAAAAAATGGAGTTAATCGGTTTGTTCGGGAAGCCACAGATATATGTTTGATCAGTTGCTGAACATTGAAGTATTCAATATCTCATGTTACGAATAATGTGTTTGTATGATGAATGTAACAAACATTATACGAAGTAAAATTTTCATCTGTTTTCCACAGGATTGAAAAGTGTGACCCTAAATATTATATTCTTATTTGATTGTATTGCGTGCGTTTACTATATCATTCGTGCATGTGCAGAGTATAAAAGCAGATAAACATGAAACTCTGACTACATTACGGTTTTACACCCCTTTCGCAAGAGTCAGAGGTATGTTATACACTCAACTTAATTTGCGTTATTTATTGTACTTTATCAAAATTTGTATTGTAAAGAATAATTTTTATTACTCGATCATATAGCTTTTTGTACCGGGCTATATGAGGGCCGGGACGTTGTCCAAACGGCCGAAACGTTGTTTTTATTTTTGAATGTAAACAAAAATATTAAAGTGCCACCATTGGACGATTGTTTTTAATTATTCACCAACCGCCATTGGACGTGTGTTTTGCCTATATATTATAAATTATAATATTCGATAGGTAAAAAAAAATTGTGTGTTGTAGGTATTGATAAAATCATAAGCTTACTAATATGTACGACAAAACTTCTCTCATTACTAGTACTAGTTTTATTTTGCAGCACATGTAGAGGTGTATTTTGTTTGGCATTTTCCCTCCAGAAGCTTTGCCATAATTTTTTCATCAAAAGAAAATAACAGAATATAACAATGAATGTAAGAACCCACCTTGATTCATTTTCATTTAAAACTTCATGATTAAAATTTCAAGAGAAACGGAAACAATGGAAACAACGTTTCGATGAAAATTGAAAGAAAAAACCGGAGCAGCGAGTCATGTTTTAAACGATGCTTCCTCAAAAACACCTTTACATTATTATTGATGTAAATGATTGTAATTGATGCCAATGATTTTTTTCTTCTTTTTTATACATGATACGAACTCATCTGTGAAAGAATGTAGTATCATCGACTCCAGTTCTTTACTAAAAGGAGATTATGTGTGCATTCCTTTTATAGTTTACAATCACATTTACAAGTAAAAAAGGACTACACGGTAAATCCTTAGAGACTCTCAACAAAACCGTCACACCCACCACATGTGTATTATGTTGAAGTACACATGGTGAACAAGTTAAAATCACATCATTCGCTTGGAAATCAATCAAAACGCGAAGCTGTCGCGTTTCGTCAAAAAGCATAAATTAACAAGCAACCATCCGCCCAAAGCAGTCCTCTCCACTCGAAAATACTTACACAGAAAGCCCGATCTCTGAATCATTAAGGATGTCAAAGTTGCTATCGCGCGACTAATCAGCAGTCAGATAAGGCGCGCGCGATTTTCCGGTCTCGACAGACACACGCCCCGAGGTTCGGGCCTCTCCCAGCCGCGCTCGTCCAAATTCGCCGTCTCAAACCACTCGCGGACACAGTCGGGGGAGCGTTTTCGCGGAATCCATCAACGGGGATTTTCGAAGAAAAGTTTCCCTCGGACACCCGCAGCTGAGAAAACATGAGCATCACAACGAACAGCGGTATAAATATGTACCTACTCGAGTCCAACTCCCGATTTTTCGTCCACCTCATCGATAACGCGTGTCCTTTGATTGCCCGCAGATGACGTGCCGCTGGACGGGGACGAGGTGTCGCGGGACCAGTTCACCTTCGGGGACAACGAGAGCACCGGCAAGGACCACTCGTCCGTCCTGCGTCGGGTACTCGAGATCGGAGGGCCGAAGGTTGTCCTGGTTCTGGGCGCAGGTTTGGCGGTTCTCTTCGCGTTCGCGATCGTCGCCACGTTAACCTTCGACGAAACAGGTAGGCCATCGACTTTTCGAAATCAACCGCCAGGGGTATATGATGTGTCTTGCGTATATGCGTTTCAGGCGAAACCGGCGACGTGGGTCCAATGAGCGGTAGTTCCGTGAATCTGTTGCGGTCCATCGTGGTCACGAGCGAGAAGAAGATCTGGGCGCTGGACGTGGACAGCAAAAGGTGCTCGCTGCTGCGTACCCTGGAGCACGACGCCACGGTTTTGGACACGTACTTGGAGGAGACGGTCTTCTGGAGCGACAACGCCACGTTGGTGATCAATTCCCTGTGGAAGAGGCAGCCCAGTGTTACCCACGCGAGGAGACTCAGGCCACAGGCGATGGCCGTCGACTACGTGACCGACAAGCTGTACTTTGTCGACAGGAGCTCGGGGGCGCTGGGTGTGATCGACTTGAAGAGTCCCAAGAACTTTGGCCTCGTCTTCTCGGATCTCGAGGAGCCCCACGATCTGGTGCTCGACCCCGCGGAGGGCCTCATGTTTGTCGTGCTGTTTTACAGATCGGTAATCAAGTTTTTTATTTTATTTTTTTCATTTTTATGGAATATGTATCAAGTATCGAGCACAATACTCGCCTACATGGTTTTGAGTCGTTCCTGGTTCCCAAGATTGCTACGCGGTGATTTCTAATCTCCACCAACAATTGTTGCCACAAAACTTTTGATGCTTGTAAGATACATGAAAAATCTACGCCAACTAAAATTAGGAAACCTTTATTAATTGATCTTGAGATCCAAAATGATCGAGCCTGAATGGATCGACGGATGCTGTAAATTATATAAACCGACGTTAACTTTGCAGATAATGAAAGCCAACATGGACGGCAGTTCGCTGAGGACAGTAGTAGAGAGCCCGAAAGTGTCGGCGATCGCGATAGACCGGAAAGCCACGCGGATCTACTGGGCCAACGACCAGACGAGCATCGAGTCGTCGGATTACGACGGCACCAACCGGCAGATGGTCATAGCGATACCCATGAGCGTCATCAGCCTGACGACGACCGACAACCAGCTCTTCTGGACCAGGGCCGCCAACTGGTCGGACATGTGCCCTTGCAGCAACGCCCTCTGGACGTGCGCGCTCTACCGGAGGACCTGTAACAACGTGACCTTCCACAAACTGCCCTTCGACTCGCCGAGGCTGCTAAGGACGTCTTTCGACCAGCGCCGGCACCTCGTGAAAAACCCATGCGCCGGTGAGTCCAACGGCGGCTGCGAGCAGCTCTGCCTGATGACGGCCGAGGGTAGCCACGGGTGCGCCTGCAACGTCGGCTGGACCCTCAACGCCGATGGCAAAACCTGCTCCGGCGTCAGTAAGCTCCTGGTCTACGCTCAGGGCGAGCACTTCAGGGCGAGGATCCTGGGCATGGAGAGAAACGAGTCCTTCGCCGCGGCGGTCGTGCCGACGAGGTTCCGCGTCGGTCGGATGAACAAGAAGACCTCGGTGCACTTTGATTACGACATGGTCAGCGGGGAGCTGTACTTCAGCGACGACCTCAGCATCTACAGGATCAACTTGTTGAAGGAGCCCGCTGGCGAGGAGGAAGAAACGGAGGAACAGACGGTGGTGCTCAGCGTCAGCGAGGCGTACGCGATCAAGGACGTAGTTTACGACTGGAGCAAGAATGGAATCTTGTACATCAAGCAGTCCCAGGACGGATCCAGCAACCACTCGCTCGTCATGCACAGCTTCAAACTGGACGTCAAGGCAGAGAAGACGGTGCTCACGTCAAAGTTCAAAAAGGAGGCTTACATCGACTGCCCGCACAACCTGGCGATCCAGCCGAACCACGAGTACCTCTTCTTTTCGGATTACAATGGCGTGAATGACAACTTGCGCCGCGTCAGCAGCAACGGCAAGGGCTTGATACTCTGGAAGCCGTTCTACTCGAACGTCCAGCTGATATTCCTGGCGATAGACTCCGAGCGCTCGAGGCTTTACTGGTCGACGAGCGTGAGCGCCTCGATGATCAAGAGCGCGAATCTCGAGGGCTCCGAGGAGGAGACAGTCCAGGTGTTGAGCGTCGCTAATCTGCTCTACGCGGGTGTCAAGGATCAGTGGCTCTACGTGGGCAACCACACGGAGATATGGGCCGTGAAGCGTGACAACGGAGCCGACCCAGTCAGGCTCGTCAAGAGGAGACTGCAGCAGCAGAAAACGGGCAGGTACACCACGTACGAGTTCATTCACGGGCTGAGAATATACAGCTTGGCCGCCCGAAATGTGACTTAAGAGAGACGCTCTCTTTCTGCAGAGATAAAAGGGAAGCCATGTAAAATGTACAATCACGAGAATATTTTATTCGACACATCTTTTGTTTTAAGGAAATTGCGTTTCTGCTCAGTTTATGGTTATTATACTTTTAATACGCTGTACCAATGTTAAAGATGATGGCGAGAAAAAAGTGCGTCTCCTTGTGTGTGCTTCCTTTTAATATGCCGATGTACAAACTTCGACGTTAAAATATACGTATTCGACAAAATCATTCTTTAATACATTTGGTTTCATATCTCATTTAATTTGTTTTTGTTAATGTTACAGCTAACGATCTTTATGGTTACGAAAATAGGTACAAAATTAAACTAATATTTACTAAACAATAAAGTTGTTTTGGTGCATTCCTATTAAATGACCTCGCGCGCTATACGACAACACCCCCTCAATATTTCTTTATTGACTTTCGTATAAGTGCTAATCTCTGTTTGTGTGCTTCTGTGACGGTCGCTCTCTTGTAGGGGCGTATCTCGTCCGTACCAAAACCAGGTATCCACATGTTCCAATTTTTTTCTGAAAAACATATGCTACTGTTATTTCCCAACACATTGTGATGGACCAAAAAAAAAAAGAACGCCAATGATTTACCTAAGTGTAACTGAACGTCTTTGACTTCAACTGTGTTTGCATGACGGTGCTTGGCTAACAAACACGCGGCATTGATTGTTGTTTCCACAAAATCATCAGCCAACTGCAACAGCATCTCTTCGACCTCTTCGTCAAGCTGCTCCGTTGGATCAACTTCTTTGACCAAATCTTGCAGCCTGGTTTTAGTCAAAAACTGTAAACAAAGTTCAGTCACTGTTCAAGCATATGTCACTGCATTTGAAGCCCGTTCAGGTGAAAAGTTTTAATTTAGTACCTGGGGACAGTCCATCACTGTATTCTGACTACTGGGCAGGGATTGAGTTTTGGCAGCTTGAGAGAGCGTTTGCTGGGGCTGGGACTGATTTGACAAAGTCGACGTTGTCACACTGGTCTGTGATGTGGCATTTGATGAAGTCATTGTTGGTGTCATTGTTGCTGGTATGTCCTGGACCATGGGAGTGAGCTGTGAGCTAGGCATCTCTTGTGACATTTCTGAGAAAAACAATACACTTTTTACTAAACCATTACTTTTTTTTTTAGCTTTTAGCATAGCTTTTATTCACGAGATAAATGTCATTTCATTCAATGTGATCTAACAGAGATGTTTGAATGATTGATCAAACGTCAAGTGACAATTGTCAAATGTAGCAAAAGCTTGCTAGAGTAAGTAATAAACAAACATGAGATATTAGTACTCGATTGTGAATGACAAGGGAATGTTTTTTAATATTTTAACCAGTCAAAAATTGCACTTTATTCAAATTTTAATTGTTAATAACCTATAAATAACGTCTTTTCTGCTCGAAAACTCGAACGACGACAGACGACAACGACAGACGGACCTTTTTGGTGGTTTGTTTGTTCCTCTCGTTTCAAGAGCCAAGCAAAGTGCGCGATGTTTGAAAATTTCTCTCTAATATGTTGACACACATGTAGAAATTGACATATGTTATTTGTTAATTATTTGAAAAAATTATTAATTTAATCTTCTTGTATGTCATTATTAATAAAAAAATATGATTTTTTAAAGAATGACTCGCATTTTTACGTGACAAAAAATATAAAGTGTAATACACTCTGAAATCGTTTCAATTCCAACACGCGTCTCGTAAAGACACACGCAGATGTCGCAGATATACTCCGCAATTACGCAACATTTCGCATATTGATGGTGCGGTTCAGTGCACGTGTCTGTTTGAGGCAACATGGAAGTCTTATTTACGATTAGTTATTAAACTATTTAATTTTTTGATAATATTGTGTGGCTTAAGTATCATCGACACGTTACGTTTTTGAGGTAGGGTGAAATTGTATGTATTAAGTATATCATGCCATCACTTAGTGCCATAAACAGTGAATTTAAAAAATTTGACTTAACCTCTACCATGTGCTTGAATTATGTCATTCAGTATTTATCAAAAAATATAAATGATGATTCAGGTTACAACAATATATATTATTATTACTACATTCCTTAATTATGCCTTTGTAAGGTATTTTTGGCTCAAAAAAATTTCAAACTTGCATCATCAAAAAGTCACGTCAGTAGAAAATACACATATTACCCAAACTTGTCCATAGAGCGAATAATTTTATATTTTTAATATTAAATTGCAGACTGAATGATTGCACTGTGAGTCGCTCGATGTCGACGTTGAGACAGCAGTGACATGCTCCTCTTCTGCCCTACCTGCGCCAACGTTCTGCACGTCGAAGAATGTGCAACCGTCGACCAGGGCTCGTATCGCTTTGCCTGCAACACCTGTCCGTACATATACCATATAAACCGTCGCGTCAGCACCAGAACTTACCCGAAACTCAAGCAAGTGGATGATGTAATGGGCGGTGCTGATGCTTGGAAGAACGTTGACTCCACCAAAGAAAGGTGTCCCAAGTGCTCTCACGACAGGGCTTACTTCATGCAGATACAGACTCGCTCAGCCGATGAGCCCATGACCATTTTCTACAGGTGCTGCAATTCTCTGTGCAATCACCAGTGGCGCGAGTAAAGCTAACGGCTCTTGTCACCAAGGTAATTTGTACAGCTGATCATGAACGTGAACATCATTTTAAATTGTATTTTTTTCAGTTTCTAGATATCGAGGTCATGAGATTGTTGAGTTGTCTTTTTACCAGAGCAGCCAATCCATCAACCATGGGACCAATAAAAAATCGTCTTAGACAGGCTCACGATACCCTGCACTACTTGCCAAAAAACAAGTCCTGGTTTTGCGGTGGTTACCGTAGCGCGGCCATAGCTGCCGAATTGATAAAAACAGGAAAAATCGTTGCCTTGCCCACTGACACTATATATGGCCTAGCTGGTCTGGCGCAGAGTGAACATTCGGTGGCAAGATTGTACGAAATCAAGGGGAGAGACACGGCCAAACCACTTGCCATATGGTACGATTTGAAAAACTGTTTGTTTACACCAGTGCATGATTCATACAATGTAATTGATGATTTTTATTCAGCCTCTGTGACATCCAGGACATTGAAAATTGGGCACACACCGAAGACTTACCCAAAGGACTGGTTGAGGAACTGCTACCTGGCCCAACGACGCTTGTCCTAAAACGCAAGGATTCACTGAACCATACACTGAATCCAGGAATTCAGAATGTTGGCATCCGAATACCGCATTACGATTTTGTGCGCAGTATTGTTAAAATGGTCAATCAGCCGTTGGCTCTCACGAGCGCCAACAAAAGTAATACTAAGAGTTCCTTGCACCCCGGTGAATTCGAGGATCTGTGGCCCGAAGTTGATGGTGTTTTTTATGAAAAAATGAACATGAATAACCTGAAGGGTTCTTGGAGAAAGGGATCAACTGTAGTGGATCTGTCGGTGGTAGGTGAATTTAAAATCCTAAGGAAGGGTATTGGCTACTTGACCACTAGAAAAGTGTTGAGGACATATAACCTTAAGGAACAGTTTCTAGAAAAACAAGAAAAAAAACAAAAAGCTCATAGTTGTACAGACAACAGCGAGTCGGAAGATGAGAAAAATGAAGCTAGAGCATCAGCCTAAATAAGACAATTGTTGAATGAGTAACGGTATGTGGTTTGTTAATGATGAATAATGAAGTTAATTTGTTTAATTCAAATATTAATAGTTTGACTCTTATCTAACAATTGTTGCTCTTTTTAATAGCATAATAAAAGTTTTACTGTTAAAAGTAACTTAAGTTTTTTGAAGTAGATAAAAACCACCCTAAAGCTTGATAGTGAATAAGCAAAGTGCAGATTGCACCTAATACAAGATATCAAATCTTACGAACGATACATATTCTTTGGCAAAATATACTTTCAAAACTTTTGATTGCACAAATCATGGACAGCCTACCAGAACTGTCACCTTTTGCTCCCACTTGTGGACTTGAAATTATTAAGAACTTATTATCAATACAATGCGTAATACAAAGAAAAAGATTTACAATCTATGAATTTGGTCATTTTAAAAATTTATTTTTTTGTTCAAATCTTGTTGGTATTATCTACTTTATCTTCTTTCTAGTATAGGTTAGGTTTTTTAACACAGGTGTAGGAAAAAAATTATATTTTCTTATTTGCAGTTTTCGCTTACTTTGCACGAAAAAAAAAAAAAAAAAAAAAAAAAAAAACTTGAGAAGTCATAAATTATTTTTAGGATAATGAAAACACTGATCAACACCAAGAAGCTATTTTTGAAAAATATGACTGATCCAATCATTAGCCGCCACTGATATGATAGTTAATATATTTTATCATAACAAGACAGCGCCAAATTATGACATTGCAATTCACTGTATGGATTGTTCGGAGATATGCATAGTGAATCGGTAATGTACATATATGTATTATATTAATTTTGTATTTATGTGATGAGACATGTACAGTCTCTGTCTCAACTCAACAGATTGACTACAATAATGATCTATTATAGTTTATTCAAGACTTATATTCCCTGACGATACAAGGTAGAAATTCATTTGTTGAGTACCACTAGAACATGCAGCTAAACCGATCAATCATGGCAACTCGTTGCCCCAAAATTCCGTTGTACTGTGCGCAGTCTTTAAAAATCAATTATTGAGTAATGAAAAATTACTCCTTGAATTTGCTGCAACAGGGCTTCGAGGAAACCGCTAGTCTACTTATGAAATTTGGTAAGTCAACTTCTCAATTAACTGAGTAACAGATATTCATCGTGCAGGAAATTAATTCTTTACATCACCACTATTTTCAGTTATTAAAAGAAACAGTTTAAGCGTAATTAATTTGATGGTATCAAAGTTATCAAAGAGTAGATATACTACCCCTGCGCTTACGTTTGGTTCAAAAACAGCAAGTAAGTCAGTACAACCTATTTAAATTGCTTCTGGAGGCTAAGGACCTTGGAACTATTAGGTTCGCTCTTTGATTAAAAAATCTGAAAGTTCTCGTTAGAAATGATTCCAATTTTCAATCAGCGTTTTTAAGGAAGAGACAACTCTTTGCGTTTGTAAGTGTCAAAATGTTAACAAATTTTTGTTGTTGGTATAACATTTTGTACCCTTTACTTGCGTTTTAATTAAGGTGGCTCCTCACTATAAATCCCACAAGAAGAGTAAGCATGCTGCAACACAGCTTTTCATTGGCTGTGGAGGTTCTTGACTAAAAATGGATAGGTACCTATAGTCTCTTCAAAAAAAGTTTAGTCACATCTACATCGTTGACCTATATCGTACAATACAGTGACCCGAGCAGACGTATGTATACGAAAAGTACATAAGTCAGCCCCGCATTAAATTATTTTCTTAGTTCAGCGTCTCATTTATTTTTATTGGAATTACGATTCCCCACAACTCCTATTCATTTTACGTACAACTTTCTGACCAATTCAAACTACGCGGGCTACCGCTCTTCGGTGTAGCAGACGCCCCACATTTTTCATCTGTTCCGGGACTTGCACAGTTATCTACTATTTTCACAAAATATCCTATAAAATCCATGGTAATGTCCAAGTACCTGAATGTCGTTGAAAAGATTCTGATTTCTTCTATCTGCTACATAGTTTTCTATTAAGAACTACAGTATCTTTGCTGAGGTATCATACAACCTGCGCCACCAATTTAACGACCCTCCATAAGAGGCTATGTTACAGAGTTTCTTTTCCAGTTAGTTTTTTTCAACAATTTTGGTGGTGACGAGGTCTAAAATTTTGGGAAAAGACTCCTTGCACCTTCAAGAATTATCCTTTAAAATATCATTTAATACTCCAGCGTTTTGATTTAGTGAGGAGCCACCTTAACTACATCCAAACTTGATCATTACAAAGCGATTAAAATTCACAGTTAAATTATTCATTAATAACAGTTATGCTTGAATTCATACAGAATTTTGTTATCAACATTTATATTATTAATACCATTATATCATTCATATAGTTTTATGTTACTATGGCATAAGTAGCACAAAAATGTGCTCTGGGTGTTGACAGTCTGAAAAAGTGGTGCGACATTTTATTTAAATAAGTTTACAATCATCAATTAACGAATTTATAAAAAAAAATAATGGTTTTTCCAATTCAAACGTTATTTTAACAATTTAACGTTTACTACGTCCTCTAAAAAAATGCGATGGACTTTAATGCGCATCTGGCCAGGGAACCAGGGTCTCACGAGCGTCTCTTCGCAAGTGCCCTGGAAGAGATGTGCACCTGTGACGAAAACTATTTTTCACCATGAGCGCAGTGTGGCAAGCCCTTTGTGCTTTGATCGCTTTCGCCCTCGGCAAAAAAAAAGTCGTCCGCAACTCCGGCACTAGCGTATGCATCAGTCGCGCCCTTCACGTGAGTTAGTTATACTTGTACCCGTATATGCTACAAAAACTCAAGTTTTTACAGATTGCGTGAGATCCTCAGTGCTTCGTTCGCTTTAAAAACCTTGCATGTTTTTTACTCCCAAAGTGTATCTTCAAAAAAATAATGCTAAGTATGTGTCATTAAATGCTAATATTAATTGACGAATTATGCCCCACGTCAGAAAATTGCTTTTTTTTACTAAACTCCATAACTAAGGAGATGGACATACCTACAATTATGAAACTTGTAGAAACTGTTGATCTTGGTTATACGAAAAATAATTCAGCAAGACCTGTTTATCAATTTCTAAATGATAAGCAATCTAATTTTACTTCTAAACATTTCAACCATAAACTTATTTTTTTAATAAAAAAATTTCTTTAGTGTCATTAAAATCCGCCTTATGAATCGATGCTAATTTTTTTTATCGTAAGAAACATTTTTCTATGATCTGACAATCTTTTTAAAAAACTTATTACTACTACTGTAATGCAACACCTCTTTTGGCTTCGTATAATCGCGATGCGAAGACGCCGACTGATAACGTTAAAGCCGCGAAACTAAGGAATTATGGTCTAACATGTAGTTATTGAAGTCAACTACTTGTCAGAGGGCGGGTTCGTTGCACAGTGCAAAATCAAGTAACTTTGGTCGTCGATTTAATAATAAAAAAAAAAACATGAGAGAAATTTTCTATTTTTGTTGAATAATCTTGGAATCTCCGCAGTTTATACAGTGATTGTTCCAGATTATTATATTACCTTATTGATTGAAGAGAGTTTTTTATTTTATAGTATAATTAAATCTTAACTTGAAATATCAGCCGTCGGCCGAAACGAATACAATTGAAGAATTAACTTAATTGCATTAATTTTACAAATTTTCAATTAATCCAAGATTTATGAATACTTGTAAAGAACTCGCAATCACCTGAAAAGGGGAAACGTTATCTCGAAATGAGTGCACACTAAAGTTAAACTGATATGGAATATTTATTCAATAATTAACAAGAAAAAACAAAGAATCGCCTTTCAATCGGTATGTACTACTAAATCTATTTAATATTAAGAATACTTCATAGATAATTCAATTTAGATTTGAATTTTTGCGCTTTTTCCAATGATATGCTCCTACGGTCAAAAATATAGACAGCACAAAAGTGGGATCAACTTGAGTAAACTCTTGGTAGATGTCACTTATTAGGTCTGGAGAGGTTCGTAAGCACAGCTTACGGTGACTCTCCCAGATTATTTTCACCCTAACTACCCAGATAGCATCGTGACGGCACTGTGACCGCATCGTGGAGCACGGCGTGTAGCACGCGTGGCAGCACCGTGACGTCCAGCTGTCGTAATTTCTGAGCGCACACTTCAACCATGGTGTGTAAAGAGCACGTCGTGCTGTCAGACTGCTTGCATTGTGCGTACACCAAGGCTGCAGTGTGCGCTCACGCGAGGTGGTATGCATGCCGTGTGTAGCCGACATAACCTCTTTT